CAGGAAAGCGATCCCCGTCCGGGCATCGTGGCCACGATTTGTCTCGCCGCGGACCTGACGCTCGCACACTGCATGCTCATTTTGGGGACCTTCCTGGAGCCACTCGCTGCACTCGTGCGTCGAAACTGCGTCGAACCTGGGTCGAACCTGAGTCGAACCTGCGTCGAACCTGAGTCGAACCTGAGTCGAGTCTGAATCGAATCTGAGTCGAACCTGAGTCGACCTTGAGTCGAACCTGAGTCGAACAGATCCGTTAGGTGGGCCCCAGGAAGGTCCCCAAACGAGCATCGAACGCAGAGATCGGCCGGGCGGGCCCATGGCCACTGCGCAGCAAACCGATACACCGCAGGAGGAGAGGAGGGGAGACGGGCGACGGCCACGAAGGGAAAGGAAAGGAGCGCGGCCCCCATCAAACCATGCAGATTTTGCAGCGGGGTGCTGCGGCCCGTGCTCTGGTGGAATACGAATGGGCCGTTTGGCTCCCTCTCTGGCCCGGAGTCTCTCACGGATGGCCCTGGCTAAAAAGTCTGGCGTTATGAAATATTTGGTTGCGGTGCCTTGGCTGACGGCCCCGGGGCTGGGAAACGGCATCGGGAGTCGGACCTTGCTCACGATAAGAGGGGCCATGTGGATGACAGGCATAGACGGATGACATCTCCCTGCGTCCGGTTTCTCTTTCAAGGCTTAGGTTGGTCATGTCCTCCTACAGGGGATATGTTCGACGATAAACAAAGATAGTCAAACAAATATTCATCAAACAAATGTTACAACAAAACACTCAAAAATCGCCCCCTGACTATGATTTTACTGTTTTGGAATATTCCCCCCGTAGAGGGACGTGCCCGACTTAATTCAAGGCCTACAACCTGAGCCCCAGCGAGTTGGGAGGCAACTCCTGGGAGGTCTGCGCGGGCACAATCGGGAACCCAGTTTGCAGGCCTCACTCGAGAGCTACGAGGCCGCACCAGGCCAAGTGAGGCCAGAGTAAGATCGGACCGGACCAGGCTGGAGCACGACCGAAAATCCACCGACCCTTCGGCGCGTGTGAGACGCTGTCGTTGTCTTCGTCGTCGTCCGCGTCGTCGGCGTCGTCGCCAGTCCCGAGAACGTTCAGGAACACACACACACACAACAAAAAAACGTGTGCAGTCAAGTCGATTCCCGTCCCTTCCCTTCCCTGACCCCGGGGGAGGGCAGGAAAGGAGGGGGGGCTAGGGGGGGCTATAGTTAACGGGCGAAGAACGGTATAAAATAAACTTGTTCGCCGTCGGGGACACCTGCCCCAGGGCGGCTGGAAAGTTTATACCCTTGCAGTGGCACCGTAGGGGCATAAACTTTCCAGCCGCCCAGGGGCAGGTGTCCCCGACGGCGAAAAAGTTTGTGTTATACCGTTCTTCGCTCGCTGATACAGGGAGAGGGGTACGGGGGGGGGGGGGGAGAGGGGGAAGGGGGGGGGGTCCCGGGTCAGGGCCCCACCCCCTCCGGGCGCCTGGGGCTGGCCCCGCCTCTAAGAAAAAGGGCACGGGGGGAGGGGCTCCCCGGCCCCGCCGGCCCCGGCCCCCGACCCTGGGAGGAGGAGGAGGAGGAGGAGGAGGAGGAGGAGGAGGAGGAGGAGGAGGAGGAGGAGGAGGAGCGCTCTTGGCCTGTTAGGCAGTCTCTGGCCGTCGGACAGCCAAAAAGGAACAGATACCAGAATCCGCAACCAAACCACGAGAACTCAATCATATCTTAGTTTTGTCCAGCCCTTCCTGGAGATCCTCCTGGTGGCCCTGGCCCCGACCCAGGCCGCGGCCACGTCCCCGGCCCCGGCCCCTCGGAAAGGGGCCCAGGTCCAGGCAGAGAGGTCACGCCTTCGGGGTCGGCGGCGCTGGCCCTACAGAGTCTTCACGATAACCATCTTGAAGGGGCCCTGGGACACACAAATGAATGCACATACATAAAAATATTCCCCATAGTTTCCCATATCTTCTGGGTTTTTGTTTTCCCCCCCACTTCCCATATTTACCTATATGTTCCTGGGAATCGACGATGAATTGTGTCTGTGTGTTTTTTTCCCTCCTGAAATCTGTGGCGCCCACACAAAGGAACCGAAACGGTGTCTGCCCGAAGCGCTGGTGAAGTGTCGAACGAGCATCGCCTCCTGGGGCCCGACACGTGAAAACCGACCCAGGGCTGTCGCCCTTCAGGGCCCTCCCATGTTAGCACTTTCTGGCGCTCGACATGTGTGCTGGTGGTCAGGGCTCAAGTAGGTCGGAAGAACAAAGGACCAAACCAAGAAGGAGGAGGAGGAGGAGGAGGACGGGCGCCGGCACAAGAGATCCGCGCTGACCTCCGAAAGCTTGTGCGTAAGCAGCCTCTCTTGCTGCTCGATGGTCCCTGACAGCCGCCGACATTACCTTTTCCTTCCACGGAGGGCCGAGATCAAGGAACAACGGCCGGATTGCAAAAAATACATCTCGTCGGAGATCTGGGCTCGCTGCCCGATGTTCGTGGCACGAGAGCCCAGAATCGAATCGACAAGTCGGATCGGCGATCGAAATTGACTAGATCGGCGGAAATCGGCAGCCCGGCCGGGAAAAGTCGAACCGGCAGACATCGGCAGGCCAGCAGGCCTCCACTGAGAAGCAAGCAAACAAGCAAGAAGGCCATGCATCCTGAAGGACGCGTGGGCTGGCAAGGACGCTCATGGTTCCTGCCGTGACTCGCTGCGACAGACAATCGGCGCCAGCGCGGCCCCAATCGGAATCCGAAGCCGAATCGAATCGGAATCGGAACCCATCGAGATCGAACCGAATCGAAGCGGAGGAACCGAAAGGAGCCCTGCCGTGGCCCCAACGCGGGGGCGCCCGCCCGACGCCGACCGCCGCGATCCTCGCGGCGCCAGAGGCCCCGGCCGACACGCCGCGGGGCGGCGGCCTCTCGGGGACCTCCCCAGAGGGCGACGCGCTCGCGGCGGCAGCGCGGCCGCCGACGGGGGGGGAGGGAGGGAGGGAGGGAGGAGGAGGAGGAGGAGGAGGAGGAGGAGGAGGAGGAGGAGGAGCGCCCGTACCACCGCACAGTGCACGAGCTCCGGGGCGGCGCGCCGGGCCGCTCAGAGCAGAAGTGGTGCTCGGGGCTGTCTGGAGGAAGCCGCCGCTGCGCCCGCCGCGGTCGCCGCCTGGTCCTGCTGGTGGAGTTGCTCTTGGTTTGGGCCCGCGGGTGTGCCAGCTCGCTCCCGGCCTGCGCTGGGAGGCGGAGGCACCCGGACGCGCTGGGAGGCGGCGCGCGCCAGGGGCGGCGCTGCAGCGGGCCAGGGCGCTGGCGCAGCAGGCTGTGCGTGTGGTACAGCGCTGCCGCCCGCGCCACCGCTCTGGGGAGGCCGCTCTCCGCGCGGCTCCGCGTCGTAGTCGGCCGCCGAGCCCAAGCCGAGGCGACGACGTGGGCACTCGTGGGCGATGGCGCGCGTTGCCACGCAGACGCACCATCAGGCGCCTCGGCATTTCAGGTAGTGCGAGATCTGGTCGGCGCCGTCTTCGCAGGACCGCCAGCACGGCAGGCGGGGATGTCCCGCGTGCGTGCGGCAGGAATTTGGCCATGCGCCTGCGAGGGCGCGGATGACCGCCCGGCAGGCGCCCAGGGCAGCAACCGCCAATTGGGCCCTGAGGCGTAGCCACCTCTGGCGGAGGTTCGGCGGGATCGCCAGTTTGGGCCACCGGGCATTGAGTCGTCGGCGGATCGTGCCGTGGAAGCCCTCAGCGAAGAGTGTCTGAGTGGCGGCTGACGCGTGCGTGCACTGCACGTGGGGCATGCGAGGAGGAGGAGGAGGAGGAGGAGGAGGAGGAGGAGGAGGAGGAGGAGGAGGAGGAGGAGGAGGAGAGAGAGGAGGAGGAGAGCTGGTCGGGCGTTTGAGCCAGACCTAACTTCCCGATGGGGCACCCAACGACTGGTGGAAGAAAGAGAGATGCCCCCAGGAGTGCTTCTCGATCATGCTTGCGGGGATCTCAGGAGTGTCAGCTGCGTGCGCAGGCGGAGGAGGATCCTCGCCCAGCGTTCGAGCCAGAATCCAGGCCTGCAGGGCCTCAAGGCCGCCGGGGACGACCTGGGCACCCCCGGACGCCTCTCGGCGAGGCGCAGCTGCTGGAGAGAGCACCCCGAGGCTGGAAAGCCGCCGAGATCGCCGCGGCCCAAAACATCCTCTGATATGACTCGTTCACCCCGCGGCCCCAGAGCTCCCGACCCCTTCCCCGGGGGCCAGTTCTTCGCCCCCGGACACGTCTTTGAGGGCCATAGGGGGCCGAGAAGCGGGCCCTGGGCGCCGGCACCACGGGAAAACGCTCAGATTGGAGGAAAAAAAAAAAAAACTCCCTTCGTCGGATCTTGCGGTCGACGCCGCCGAGCTGGCCAGCCGATCGGCACCGCTGGCCTGCTGGGTGGCCTGGCCGGTCTCGATCCCCAGACCCCACACGGCATGAAGCTTCCACGGCGTGGGCCCCGAGGGATCTGGACCCTTCCCCGGGGCCGGCGAGCCGCTGCTTGACGGTCCCGAGGCTCGGCAAGAGCCCCCGGAGCCCAAAAACTGTGCGCAGGTCGGGCCTGTCCCTCTACAGGGGGAGTATTCAAAAATAGTCCAAAAACAGTCTGGCGACCATGTTTTGCATAGCTTCTAACCTTTTGGGGGGCCACTTTGGGGGTATCTTTTTGCTTTTCGTCGAACACCCCCCTGCAACATAAAAAACTATGCAAACTCGTCCGTCGCGATCTCTGTCGCAGCGCGAGGCGCCCGGCCAGCCCGCACCGCCGCAGACCCCGCCGGCCGCACATCCGCACCGCCGGCCGCATCGGAGGGCGGCGGGAGGCCTTCCGGGGAGACGCGCTCCTGCGCCGCGGCGGGCTCGCGGAGCGGCGGCCGCGGCCTCGCCGGATGGGCGACGATGACGACAACCACCCCGCTGACGACGACGACGACGACGACGACGACGACGACGACGACGACGACGACGACGACGACGAGTGGGGAGGAGGAGGATTGAACGGGTCCTTCGCGGACGCGACCGCGCCCTCCCGGTTGCATGGAGGTCTCGCTTGACGGCCGAGCCGTCGCCAGCAAAGGAGCAGAGCGCCAGGACATCCTCCAGGTTCGGGGGGGTCCGCTCAGAGCGTTTCGCGTGCAGGCCGAGTTGGCTGCAGCACCGAGTGCTGGCCGAAGAATTCGCCGGAGGAGCGCGGGCAAAAGCATTGCGTTGAGGATGCCTGCCCTCATCTACGGAGCGTCGTGAAAGCAAGCATGACGGCCGCGCTCGCCACGCGTTGGCCTCTACAGATCGACACAGCCTGAAAAGAAAGCCGCGGGAGGATGGGGTCGAGTCCTGGTCGTGATGCATGACGCTGTTGTAATGTTTCACCACGTTGGATCTCGAGGCGGAGCGAACGTAACGCATCTTAAAAAAAACATGCAACGATGCCAGCGCTCCAACCTCTGATCGGATCGCACTGACTTGGAATGGAGAATGGTGCTTGAGCAGCAGGTAGGACCAGCAATGAAATTCATGCCAACGGTGAGCGCGGCGAATGACGCGCCTTGCTCTGAGGCGATCCTGCCGCATGAACGGCGGATAAGTAGAAGCAGAGGAAATCCTGAGCGAACAAAAAAGTCTCCAAGAACTGCCGCCTAGACTTCATTTCGTCGATCCTACTGCTAAAAAAAAGGTCCTGAGGCGCCTAACCAGGCAGCTTAAAATCTGGACGGGCTCCAGCCAAAAGCCCCCCAGCCTTCTAGCCCAGTGCGAAATCTGAAATGCCCTCCTCCTCCTCCTCCTCCTCCTCCTCCTCCTCCTCCTCCCCCTCCTCCGTCTCCTCTTCCTCCTCCTCATCCGCCTACGGATATGGGCACGATACTAACACACCATCGCTCTACACTCCAGGTGAAAGTGTCCGACTCTGTACGCTACTTGGGGCCGCTCTTAAAGTCACACGGCAGTGCAAGTAATTACCAAAAGGAGAATCGCGCTCCTGGCACATTGCGGCCTTAAACTCCGACATGCGTCGGCCGCTCCGCGACCAGTCGGCCCAGTCCCCGAACCGGGATCCACGAACGCCCGCCAGCTTCCTCCGCCTGAGGCATGACTCGGCAGCAGCCACTCACGGCAGGGCGAAAGGAGGCAGGACACTGAGAGTTGTCGACGGTGCGTAGATGGGCGAGAGCAGCCTTGGCTCTGGGTCCTGCTCGGCCGCCGCCGCCCAGCTTGCGGTTGCCGCACTCTCGTCGATCAGGGCCTCGTAGAAGGAGTCCTCCTCCCAGGCGAACGAGGCCGCGACGTGCTCCATCTTGGCCGCACTGTCCACGCCTGCCCCGTGGTAGCCCGGCGGGCTAGCGCACACTGCATTGAGGCGAGCGTGGTGGTTCTTCCACCAGCCACCAGCCATGACTTCCTCGCTGAAGATGTCGGCAACGCTGTCGAAATCTGGCGAGACGAAGCCTCCGCTGGCCTGATCATGCTGGATCGTCGTGTCAACCGGACCGCCTTGGCCGTGGCTCTTCAAGACGTCTGCCAGGTCACCGTACAGCGCAGATGAGCCCGCCTGCCCCATCTGCTTCGTCTTGCTAAGCACCCTCGCAAGGTCCGAGTACGGGAGGTTCGCGTCTGCCTGCGGCCGCGAGACGTCTTGACCCCAAGCTGTGTCTTGTGCCACCGCGCCACGGGGCTGCTGCTTTACCCCCGCACGTACACCTGAGTAGCCCCTGTCGCCCGCCAATACGAACGGGTGCCTCCGAAGCTCGCCCCTGGCGTGGGCGAACTGGCAGTTTGGATAGCGGCAATGTCCCGTGTGGAAGAGATCCGGGCACAACTTCGTTCGGGAAAGGTCGGGCAAGGGGTTCATGTCGAGGCGCCCGTGCGCAAAGCGACAGAGCTCCCCGCGCGTGCACCTGCCGAGCCGGTTGAACTTGCACAGCTTGGTTTTGTGGAAGAAGGAGCCATGCCGCTGCTTCTCCTCATTCTCGCCCGGCCTGCCTGCACCGCAAAAAAATCGGCTACACGTCATAGTGACCCCGGGCAAGAGTGACCTGTGGTGCGCGGACTCAGGGGGCGCAAAGTGGCAACATCCAAGCGCGCAAGCAGCCGCTATCGCATGGCGTTCAAGGATCGGGGGGACCCCGATGAACCCGCACCGAAGGTCACCCTGGCGAAGGATCACTATTCGGTTAACCAGCCTCAAACTTACCCCTACCCCTATCCCTATCCCTGAGATGGGCGAAAAAAAAGCGAGGACAGTTTTAGGGATGTGCCCTCAGAAACTGAAGGAATCCTTACGATCGACATCGAAGTGGGGTAATGCGAAACACAGGGATAGGGATATGCTTCAAACTGGAGATATATGGTGATACGTGTCGCCGATGGAAACATCGATGTCCACTCGCGAACGCGCTGGCCCGAGTCAAACAGCGCTTACCGGGGTCAACCAAGGCCACGTCACGACTACTACTACTACTACTACTACTACTACTACTACTACTACTACTACTACTACTACTACTACTACTACTACTACTCCTACTACTCCTACTACTACTACTACTACTACTACTACTACTACTCCTACTACTACTACTACTACTACTACTACTACTACTACTTCTTCTACTACTACTACTACTACTACTACTACTACCACCACTACTACTACTACTACTACTACTGCTACTGCTACTGCTACTGCGGCTGCTGCTGCTGCTGCTGCTGCTGCTGCTACTAACTACTACTACTACTACTACACTACTACTACTACTAACTACTACTACGACTACTACTACTACGACTACTACTACTACTACTACTACTACTACTACTACTACTACTACTACTACGACTACGACCTACGACTACTACTACGACTACGACTATTACGACTACTACTACGACTACTACTACTACTACTACTACTACTACTACTACTACTACTCGATTCACAAAACAAAACAATACTGCTACCACTAACTCTACTACTACTAACTACTACTACTACTACTACTACTACTACTACTACTACTACTACTACTACTACTACTACTACTACTACTACTACTACTACTACTACTACTACTACTACTACTACTACTACTACTACTACTACTACTACTACTACTACTACTACTACGACTACTACGACTACTATACTACACCACTACGACTACTACGACTACTACGCCTACTACGACTACTACTACTACTACCACCACTACTACTACTACCATGACTACTACTACTACCACTACTACTACTACGACTACTACTACTACTACTACGACACTGCCTACGACTACGACTACGATTACTACTACGACTACGACTACAACTACTAGTACCACTACTACTACTACTACTACTACTACTACTACTACTACTACTACTACTACTACTACTACTACTACTACTACTACTACGACTACTACTAGTACTACGACTACTACAATTTCTACGACGAATAATGCTACTACTTCTACTACTACTACTACTACTACTACTACTACTACTACTACTACTACTACTACTACTACTACTGCTACCACTACTACTACTACTACGATTACTAGTTCTATTTCTTCTACCGTTGCTGATGCAACTCTACGACTACCACTACGACTACGACTACCACGACTACTACTACGACTTCTACTACTACTTCTACTACTACTTTTACTACTACTACTACTACTACTACTACGGCTACTACTACGACTACTACTAAGACTACTATTATTACTACTACTACCACTACTACTACTACTACTACTATTATTACTACTACTACTACTACTACTACTACTACTACTACTACTACTACGACTACTACTACTACGACTACTGTGCTACTACTACTAGTACTACTACTACTACTACTACTACTACTACTCCAACGGCTACTACTACTACTTCTACTACTACTACTACCACCACTACGAGCGCTACCACTCCAAATACTACTGCTGCTGCCGCTGCTACAACTACTACTACTACTGCGACTACAACTACTACTACTACTACTACTACTACTACTACTACTACTACTACTACTACTACTACTACTACTACTACTACTACTAACTACTACTACCTACTACTACTACTACTACTACTACTACTACTACTACTACTACTACTACTTCTACTACTACTACTACTACTACTACTACTACTACTACGACTACTATACTACTACTACTTCCACTACTACTACTACCCCTAACTACTACGCCTACGACTTGCACTACGAACTATTACTCTTCTAACTGCGACTGCGACTACTACTGACTACTAACTACTAACTACGACTACTACTACTACTACTACTAACGACTACTATACTACTACTACTACTACTACGACTAAACGACTACGACTACTACTACTACTCCTACTACTACTACTACTACTACGACTACTACTAGTACTACTACTACTACGGCTACTACACGACAACAACTACGAACTACTATTACTACTACTACTACTACTACTACTACTACTACTACGACTACTACTACTACTACTACTACTACTACTACTACTACTCCAACGGCTACTACTACTACTACTACTTCTACTACTACTACTACTACCACCACTACTAGCGCTACCACTCCAAATACTACTGCTGTTGCCGTTGCTACAAATACTACTACTACTGCGACTACAACAACAACTACTACTACTACTACTACTACTGCTACTACTACCACTACTACTACTACTACGACTATTACGACTACTATTACTACTACTACTACTACTACTACTACTACTACTACTACTACTACTACTACTACTACTACTACTACTACTA